GAGAAATACCCAGGACTTCTAGAGCTACATTACTCAGTACTATCTAACAGAAGATTCAGGTCTGAAAGAGTTTTACTTTTAAATTCCTACTTTTGCTATATTATGTTGGAAAGCAGGATTGGAAAGAGAAAAGGTACTTTTCTGACCCCATAGGAGCAAAGCAAGTTATTTAATGTTCATACAAAGAAGTACGAATATATGCTACGTTCTTAGTAGGAAATCCTACTCCTGGCAACATTTCCTTTTCTTTTCATTCTGAGCTTTGTGGAGGATTAAGCCCAGATCTAAAATATGACCAGTTTTTTTTTTAAAGACTATTTACTCTAAAACGGTGTTTAACAAAATTTCCATCTTGGATGCCCGAGTGAAAGGAGGATAGTGACTGGAAGTGTTAGACTACTTGCTGTGGTGGTTTCAACCATGACCAGGTCCCATGGCAAGGTCCCTTCCCAACCATTCCTTCCCATTTCAAACATCAGGAAAGGTGGTGTCTCCTTCTGCAAAATGCAGGCTATCTTTAATCATGGAAGAGTCATAATGAAATGGATGAAAGAGATGCTTCAGGATCTAAGTGAAGTCATCAAAGATTCCACAAATCAATACCTTCTCTAGTCGGACAATATTTTCTCATTAGCTGGCCAACACAAGTGAAATTGATTTATATTTAATTTTCTGCATCATTGTGTCTCTTCTTTCATTCTTAATTTCTAAAACTTTTTGAAAAGGCAAGCCAAAATAAAAATTTAAGATCAGACTAAATAAATCTTATTTCATAAATGCTTTATGCAAAAATATGGGAGTTTCTCACAGCACTCCAGCAATTCTAAATAACTACTTCTGCAAGACCTGTTTCACTACACTCTTACGAAGGCTGACACAATACAATCTTGAGCCATAAGATATAGCTCATTCATTTCACTGTATTACAGTACTACAAAGATTTTTAGTTGTTTCCACTCTAAAGGCACAGATATTAACATATAAATCTTCCTTATCAGACTGATTATCTGCTAGAACGCCAATGTAGGAAAATATGTGAATACAAGTATAGTAACTCTTCTCATTCATCTCTCTTCAATTTTTCTACTCTAAGCAAACTATTGTACATTCATGTCAGTCGAGGAATATATATTGCATAATTAATCCAATCTTGTTTTGATCTTAATTTTTGCTTAAAACATGGCTGTCCTTTCCATTTTTTACATACCAAAGGTTGATTCAAATGGATGGCTGCATTATTTCTGAGAGACTATATTTACTACAATTATTATATTTGAGATGGGCATAAAAGGTTATTGATACATAAGAACAGTTGATTCATGTATCTTCGACAGATGAAGTAATCAACACTATCGGTTTCTCAACCACGGCACTGTAAGTATTTGGGCCAGATAATTCTGTTGTGGGTGGCTGGCCAGAGCACTGTGGAATGTTTAGCAGTGACCCTGATTTCTACTTACTTGATGCCAATGCCACATCCCATCCAGCGGTAACAACCAGAAATGTCTCCAAACTTTGTCAAATGTCCCCTAGGGAACAAAGTCTGCCCCCTCAACACCTCCCAGTTAAGATTCATTGAGCAATAGCTCATGTTATGGTTTATATCTGCATGTCCCCTGAAAGCCTCATACACTCATAGGTGGAATGCTTAAAGGGTGATTGAGTTATGGGGGCACTACACCTAGCTTAGTGTTTGCAGCTAGGACCTGGTTCAAAGTGGCAAGTCACTAGGGGTGTTGTGATTTGGAAGGGCAAATGACTCCTCCTTTCTCTCTCTGCATCCCGGACACCATCATGTTTGAAGCTTTTCTCCACCATGCCTCTCTGCCATGCTGTTTCTTCTTTTGAACCAGCCCATCCTGGGCTGAAACAGCCAAAATAAACCTTTCCTTTAAGTTGTGTCTGTTGGGTATTTTGTCCCAGTGATGAGGACAGTGACAATAAGACAGGTTTTGTTACAAGGAGTGGGGTCGTTGCTGTGACTGTTACGTCACCATGTGATTCAGAAGCCTTAGGAACTAGTTTGAAGGAAAATTTGGAAAGGTTTGGAGATGTCAGCTAGAGAAGCAGCCTGTAAGCTGAACGTGAGGGGATATTCTGGTCAAAGCACAGACCAGAATACTGATGGAAAGATAAGAGGGTAAAGACTAGGCTCAGGTTTCAGTTGGGAACAGACTCCCCAATGGCATTTGGATTCCAGGCCATTTATTTGTTTTATGCTGTGGCAGAAAATCTGTCTACATTTTACTCATGTCCTGAGATTTTTCAGGAGACTGAGATTAAGGGTGGTGGACTAATCTGGTAGAGGAAATTTCAAGGCAGCCCAATATTGAGCCTGTGGTATGAATACCGTTGTGGTGGTGGGGGGGGATTTAGGCAGCTCTACATTAAGAAACATGAGCAAATGCCATAGCTGAGTGAATTTTAAAGTTTTCAGTTCTCTAGAAAAGAAGCTCCTATAAAATTGGGGCCTATAAAGGTGGAGCAAAGGAGAGCTTAGTTGCTGGAAAGATTACCATTAAAAAGAAGCCAAGTAGTTTAAAACAGCACAACAGAAAAAAATGGCTTGAGGGGATGTCAGGAATCAGCAAGATCCCTCCCTTCACAGGCTCAAGAGTACAGAGCTGTAAAGTTTTCATTTGAGAAGACAGCCCCAGGACACCATGCTAGAGAACAGCAACATAGGAAATTCAGTTCCCTGGGATTTAGTTAAGTGCTCAGCCATCCAGGCACTCAGAGGTCTCTGCAGCCAAGAGTTAAGGGGGCCTGGCTACTATTTGACCTGGCTGCAGACTTGGCATCACCTATGTGGTGCTGGTTTTAAATGTATGCAGAATCCAAGAGTCGTGGGGTCAGGGTAAGAGAAGCTTCCATCCGGATTTCAGAATGCCTGGGAGGCCAGGCATTGTATCCAGGAGGGCAGTACACGAAGCTATGAGAGTGAAGCTGAAAGTGCAGTAGAGATCCCTGGAAACTGGAGAAGCCAGGAATGTGTAAGGTCAGAGGAAAGCCACAAGGAGTAAGCAAAGCCAGTCCAAGAGAGAAGCCATGAGAGCTACGCCCATTGGCAACCCCTAGGGGGGAGGCTACCCAAGTCTTTTGGAGTTCACATGTTGCACGACTTTCCCTGGGGTGCTGGAAACAAAGCTAAAGTATTTAATGTTTGCCCTGCTAGGTTTCTGTCTTACTTTGTTCCGTTGGTTTCTATCCTCCCATTTTCCCTTTTGGAATGGGAATGTTTATCTTGTGCTACTTTATGTCTGCAGTGTTTAACTTAATTGTTTTTTAACTTCTTAATTTTTATAGAGGCTCATAGCTAAAGTTTACCTTACATCTCAGAAGACTTTGGATTTGGACTCTTCAGTAATATTGGAACTGTTAGCAATTTGGCAATTCTTAAGAGATGGACTAAACATATTTTGCACAAAGAGATGCACATGAATCTTCTGGGGGACCAGGGGTGATGTTATAGTTTATATGCAGATGTCCCCCTAAAGCCTCATATGCTCAGAAGTAGGGATCTTAAGTGAATGGATTATGAGATTATAAATTATAGCTGACTTGTCAGGAGGTGGAGTCTGGAAGGAAAGGGTTGGGTCATTGGGGGTATGTCCTGGAGGGGGTTTAATCTCTCCCTTCTCTGTTTCCTGGCTGCCATGAAATGAGCAGCTTTTCTCTGCCATGCTGTTTCTCTTTTGAAGTTCATAGATCTTGGACTGAAACATGAGCCCAATAAACCTCTGGTCCTTTAAGTTGCCTGTGTCAGGTGTTTTGTCCAGTTATGAGTAAAGTGACTAAGACAGCCTAACAGAAGTGATAAAAGCTAAAATCAACTCTCAAAAGTACTACACAATACAAATCAAGTTCTATATACAACTTTAATTTTCATAATTCATATAAAAATCCAACTATAGAATGATACAAATTAACATTTAACCACATCCTTTTGGGAATACAGGTAAAGGCCTTTAAAAATACTTCACAAAAGTAAACACATATCCATGATACCCTGATGATGCCAAAAAAAAGTTCTGGTAAGATAAATCAGAACATATAAATGTAGGTGACTGCTTTCCACTGCTTCTAACAAAAGGGGTGGAAAAAGCTGGGCTCCTATAAAGTCAAAATTCAAGTTTCTCTTAAAATAGCTGGTAAGATATAAAGTATTGCATAGTTCACACACAATAATGTAGAGGTGTATTCGCTTATCTAATATAAGAATCAGTGAAAAACAAGACCTGTTTGGATCAGGAAATGAAGCCAAAACTGAACTTGCAATGCTATGAGTAATAAAGAGCATCAATTCTAGAAATAAGACAGTGACTCATTACCTGGAGATTTCCATTTCTACTGTTAGTCAGCTTTTTGTTACTGTGACAAAATACCTGAAAAAAATCACTTAAAGGAGGAAAGATTTACTTTGACTCAGTTTCAAAGGTTTCAGTCCTTGGTAAACTGGCTTACCATTGTTTTTAGGCCTGTGAGGAGGCAGAAATATCATGGGAGAAAGGAGTGATAGAAGAAAGCTGTTCACCTTGTGGCAGCCAGGAAGCTGAATAGACAGAGCCAGAAGGAAGGGGTCTGGGGATGACATATACTCCCCAAAAGCACACCTCTATGACCCATTCCCTTCAGCTAGGCCCCACCTCCTCTTTCCACAACTTCCCAATAATGCTATCAAATTATGAATCCATGATGGATTAATCTACTGATGAAGTTAGAGACCTCATGATCCAGTCATCTTTCAAAGGCCTAACCTCTGGACACTGCTGCACTGAGTTGAAGACCCAGCTACCAAAACATTAACCTTGGGGGACAGATTGTAACCAAGCCCTGACAGGAACAGACCAAGCAACACATATATTATGCTAAAAAAAGAAGTGGGGAAGGGATTAGTGGGACCCTGTTCCACTAGTAAATAATATTCCATCCATAAAATGAGACAAATTCAATTTTAGTATATGTGTTGCCGAAGTGAGCACAGACAAGACAAATTCAGAGAATTGTCAAAATGTCATTCTTTATTTTTGGACATGTAGCATGTTTTAACAAATCAGTTACATGTGCAACTGCTTATAACATAAAAGGAAATACATTTTTAATAATTTCCTCATCACTGTTAAATTCACTTGCAAATAAATGTAAGTAGCAGAGCAGAGCAATGTGTTTCCACATACTGAACAGTGCAACACTGACAGTTATAATTAAGGTATCCAGGAAGCCTGAAAATGAAGATTTAACTTAAGACAAATAAATTGACTTCCTTTTAAAAACGGTAAAATAATTCTGACTTGTAAATTACACATTTTATAAGCAAAATCAACCACTTTTAAATTTTATTTTCATCTTAAACAAATGACAATTCAAGAATTAAACAATTTTGAAAAATATCAAGACACAAAAGGAAAAATAGCAGTGTGCCTTTAAAAACTGCTTAGTAGAACAAACAAAACCAAATATTAACCATTTCTCACTTTACCATGAATATTGGCACTGTTTACTTCATGTCTGTATCAGTTTCAATGCATAAAAATCTTAATAAGACTGAATGGTTAGGGTCAGTCCATTTTTTTCCAACAAAAGAATTTCTAACTACTAGATTTAAAAAATTGCACTCTTGCATTTGTGTTTTAGTATAAACAGAACACTAATATATTTCTTTTATATCAGTGGCAATCGGGTAACAGGCATAAGATACTTTTTAGAAGGTAAGACGTTTTGTGAATGCTGTCATTAAAAATATCCTGTGCAGAATCACAATACTGACAGAATCTATCTAGTGCACACACAAGCGCCTCATTGTTTTGATTTCACAGTCTTTTTTTCACAAAAACTTATTCTAAAGAGTTCAAAGAATACTACACACCATGTGGATAATTGGGGGTTAAAAACCCATGGCTCTGGCCAACAATGGTTACAGTTAACAACATCCATCCACAAAGAGACTTGTGTTCCTAAAATTTTCAGACTTGTTTTGCTATAAATAAAACACTCTGGAGTAAAGCCTTTTGCACACTGACAACATGTATCAGACATCAGCTAGGCCACAGTGGAGGGTAGTGACTTATATCAAAAGGATACAGTAGCAGCTGGTTTTGAGATGGCACACCTCATTCATTCTGCTCAGGTAACAAGAAGGCATTTACAGAGGACTAAATTATGTACTGAAAAATGTGGAGGCTTTCTCTGCACTATCATCAACAGTGATATCGGTCCCTAGAATTTAAAAAGCAAAAGGGCTCTTCATAAACAGACGGGGGCTCTACCTAGGAGAATACATACAATACAATCAAAGGAAGACTTGGAATATACCAGTGATTTCTTCCTGGCATTAACTAGCATGAGCATTTTTGGCATGTTAGATATTTTACCACTTCATGTCAACCATGACTATAATGAAGTAAGCTGTGTGAATGATAAAGTGTGAATACATCCCTGGTATTACCAGCAGTTTACACATAGCAGGTGATCAAAACATGCTGGTTAACTAACACGCCATCTTATTCAAGAAACCTGCTGCTTATATGTAACGCTTACTGAGTGGACCCAATAAATCCTTAAGAGCATCACTTAAATGCCTAATAGATGTCTATGAACATGACTTAAATAGTTTCCGTAATTGGTATACTTCCCTAAAGAAAACTTGTAAACATTTGGTGAACATCTAAGTAATGGTTTAACATTAAAAATTGGCCAAAAATGCCCAGAAACATTTGGCCCTTCAGCACCCAAAGCTCTTAAAATATAATGTTAAAACATCTCTGCTAGAGGGATTTCAGTATCTGAAAAATTTCATACCTGAGTGGCTTAAATGTTCCCTCCTACATTGTAAAGAAGTACAAGGAGTTTCTACACTCAGGAATTGCATAAGTTTTTAATCTTTCCTCAAAATAAAACATTGAATGGTATAGAGGTAGCGTAACTTACTGACAAAAACAAAAAAGCAAGGTTATTTTCAATCATCTTAATAGAAGTGTTACAAATATTTAAAACTTTACAAGGCAGGCTTTCTTCTACCTGGTTTTAGACACCTTCTTATTCTCACCCCTTTTTTCACCGTGAGGAGAGTGGTGAGTCCAGGCACCCCTTGGCCCAGTGGCATCTATTGCAATATCAATGGTAGAATCCGGAGTGATCCATCTTAGGAAGATAAGGAACAGATAGTTGAAAACAGCTAACAAAGCAAAAATGTGGCCTGTTACTGAGCCACAGTGAGAAATGAGCCTATCCAGTCGCTTGTCCATGGGCAACACATCTTCCTTCAAGACCAGCTCATACACCTGGAGGAGAGAAGGCAGAGAATGAGTGCTGGGAGTCAGAACACTCCGACAAATGACGACCCACCCTGACCAAGAATGTTTCAGAAACACATGCAAACAGAAGTCACTCGTGTTTGGTGTTGTTACAATAATGAAGTCCTTAATGAACTTAATCACAATAATTATTGCCCTTTGATTCAATACTTATCGGGCACATAATCTGGGAAAATCACTGGGCTCTACACTGTGACAAAAAGAGTAAGCTACATTGCTTTCCCCTAGGAGATCAGCATGGATTTCAGCAGAGTACTAGAATACCAAAGTCCTGCAAAGTCCAAATAGCTTTTCAGGTCACAACTGCAGGGGTGATATTTAATTGAGCAGTGACTTGAGAGGTGTTCAAACAGGACTGGCCTTTTTAGATGCATTGAGTGGAGAAAGCTCTCACTGGCCTCTGGCAGACAAAAAGCACAATTACAGCACTACAGTAAGTGGGCTTCTGGGGACACACAGGTTCTTCTTTCAACAATTGTGCAAGGCCATCCATGCCGCTGAGCATGGTAGGTAAGGATATGGAGAAACATTTCAGAGATTGCACATAAAAGAGGGGAAGATGGGATAAACTTTAATAAGTAGTATAGGCCAAACGTTGGCAAAGTTTACTGCTAAGAACTGGTAGTGGGTGACTTGCTTCTTAAAACTGCTGAGCACTACACTCTAAAATATTAAAAAACAAAGATCTTTAAATATACCTGTGTAGAACACATCAAATGAGCCAGCATTCCTGTTTTGCAATTGCACTTGGGAATTACTTGTGCTTGGTCTCACATAATGGACCTGTAAATTGTCTTCTTTTGAGTTCAAGAAGTTACAACAAGTGCAACTTCTACAGGTCAGTGGGCTTTCAAAGGTACGGCATGTTTTCATCTAGCTCTTCTACCCTGAGGACATTTTAAATACAAGTAATTTAATCAGAATGATGGTGAGGATTATGCTGAGGCTGGCAGATTGTAATTGAATAGTGTGCTTAGAGCATGAAGTCCAATTTAATTTTGTGATCAATTTTCTAAATAGCACAGTTAAACTAAAAGGAGTTGAAAAGGATCAAAATGTCCTACATTTAAAAGACCAAATACAAACTGATCTGTTTATCCAGCTCTATTTCAGGTCAATTTATTTATCTTAAGCAATAAAATAATAATTTACTTCTATAAAGAGAAGGTGACAATCTGTTACAGATGAGAATTTGCTTTGTTCTAATTGTATACTATAAATTAACAGACCACAAAAGAGAAAAACTAAGTGCTTAACTATTATTTTAAATATAACTACATGAAATATGATTATAAAAACAATCCTAATTAGCTCCTTAACAAACTGTCACCATAGTCCTTTTCCTCTAATTTCTTAGCTATCTTGGCTCAGAGCTCTGAGGTAGTATCATATCTAACAAGAAGATAAAGTCACAACTACAGAGCTGTGATCCTGTAGGGCGATTCTGGACATAACTCTGAAAAACCTCTCTAGCCATACATTCCTGCCAACCATACCACAAATTCCATCTGGGCTCCCTAAGGGTCACATGAGACTCTAGGGAGTGACTGGAGAGATGCGACAGGAAGAGGGAGGATACAGAGTCTGCAGAGGCTACTCAGCTGATTGCAACATACATACACACCCCACAGGTGCCATACTCCAATTTCCAAAAGAAAAAGTAAGCTACGTCATAGGGCGGAGAAACTACAAGACTTCTAGAAGGTCAGACTGTCTTAGACACTTCAGTTGAAAATTTTGACTGTTTCAGAAGTCTCCTGGTTTTAATGGAAAATGTTATTATGTATGACCATCTCTAGAGATTTGTAGAAGCAAAGAGGTTTTTTTGAGTTCATATTCAAATATGGGTTCATTTCATAATCTGGAACTTATAATTCAAAACAAGTAAGAAAGCCTTATAGTAAAGAGCTATTCTCTCCTTGAATATATGGGCAATATAAAACACTAAACTGTGACCCTTTCCATGCTCCACCCGGCTGCTCTTAATGTAAGAAACCTAGCAGTTTCCACTCAGTTTGATACATGGCAAGAGGCAAAAGACAGAAGCAGTCACAAGAAAGACCTAAGGGCTGAAACTGAGACGAAACACAGCCCCGTCAGGAAGCATGGCTCTCTGTGTGCTCTCCTAAGTGTTGGTCTATTTTCTGTACCTGTCCTTTTGGGAATGCTCTACTGCTGCTTTTCATTTGTCATCATAGTTCTTATTTTTCATGTATATTCTGAACTCTAACTTACTATGTTCTCTATGAGCCCAAACGTGCAAAAATCATTTTCCTGTAGAAAATTATCATGATTAGCAAAAGCATGACAGAAAGTTTAGGAAGTAGCCTGAATCAAATATTAACAAGTTATAATGCCACTGTAAGCACCAAAACCATGTATTGTGCTAATAGAACTAGATAAGTTAGAATTATAAATAGCCTTAAAAAAGTATCTAAGAATAGATCTCAATAATAGTTTTGTCTTTAATTGCTGGGACTTCTGGAAGATTTTGTAGTTTCCTCATGCCCAGTTTAATCAATCGTTACTGGTATTTTCAGATGTCAATGCAATGATCTGAGTAGAAACTTAGCCTTGTGCGTATACAAAAAGTAATGCTTAGTTCATTTCTTTCCATATGGAAGACAGTCCATTAACCTAACCAAAACCATCAATGACCAACCTGCATGTAAGAGAACCAAATGGTATGAGAGACATCAAGTAAGAGTTCAGACAGAAGCTTTTCTAAGCACACGACATACCTTTTCAGTTCTTTCTGCAACATTCCTCCAGGTATAGAAAGTCTTTACTATGCTATGGATATTTTCTGGGGTTGGAAGAGTCCCTGACTTCAGCTGGAAGATAGCCTTTTCCAACCCTTCACACAAAGATTTTACTGAAGGTTCACATAAAACAATGAGATTTTCTGGAAGCACCTCAGGAATTCCTCCAACCTTGGTACTTACAACCTTAAAAAGCAAAAAGGAATACATGATCCACCCATAATCACACCTTAGGAAAATTAGCAAAATGAAGTTAAAAAATTATGATGACATGTGCCCTATTATTTTTTCAAAATACGAATACAGAAATCCCCACAAGGTAAGCCCTTAAAGCTTTTTACCTGTAAACCACAACTGGCTGCTTCCACAATCGCCATGCAGAATGCTTCGGTTAGGGAGGTATTAAGAAAAATATGTCCTTGAACTAAGACATTTCTAACATCCTTGTGTTGTAAAGCTCCCAAAAGATGCACCCTGATTTTTTAAATGAGAGGGGAAGAAAAAAGGGAGTAAAAACTCATGCTACAAAAAATTTAATTTCTAAGCCAAGCCAGTTATTTATATTTAGATTCCTACTACTGCTGTTTTCCACCCCAAAACATTAGTATGACCAAATGCCCATGTAAAAAAAAAAGCCCTAGAAAGCTGAGATACAACTCAAAAAATTAACATATTTCTAACTTTTTAATATATACCAAATTTTATCTTCTCTAAAGCTAATATACATTTAATGAAAATACTAATATGACTTGGAAATCTGCAAATATTCCCAGTCACAGTGGTTGTTTTTTGGGCCTTCCATGTTTCCAACAACTGCTGCTGCTGCCCAAGTCAAATAATATCAGGCTAATGGAAAAAATTAAAGTATGAAGTCTTTATTGTGTTTTCTCATTTGATATAAATTCTTAAAAACCAGGCTTTGCATTACATTTGTACATCAATTATACGCAGGAGAAGCAGCATGTCTAAGGTAAGCATGCAGTCAAAACCAAACATAGGTAATCGCTATTTTCTTACCACAATAATATGGAAGCCATCAATACCTGTCATGTAGTTGGTATCGTTCCCGTACTTCTTCCAAAATGATTCTCTTTGGTCCCTCTCCTCCAATTATGAAATTTAAATTTTGATATTTCTGACAGAGCTCGGGTATTATACCACAAAGCAAATCAGTCCCTGAAAACATAAAATTGATCATTGGAGACATTAATGTTTGAACTTAAAAATTCATCAGTACTACTGAGAACCTACTCACTTATTAAAATATTAGGTATAGCATCTCTGAAGTACAGAAATCGACTCTCACACACCTTTCCTGGGACTGGAATCATTTACAAAGTGCCAACAGTCCCCAAGGGTTGCAATTCTTGAAGATACAGACCCTGACATGCACTGTTACCTTTTACACAACCCAAAGATGTGCAATTGTTTCAACCTACTGTTCCTTAAGTGATTTACTTGGACATATTGCCTCCTTCTGAAAAAGGTATATAAGGTAGCTAACTAATGTTTCAGCTATCCTTCTCCATAGCACACAGCCTACTGGAGGTAGAGATCTGGGTCTTGTTCTAGCTTTTTCTTTCCTTCCTTTTTTAACAAGCCAGCCCTCTGATCACAGCAATGTACCCTGATCTATTAAATGCAGAAATGTATGTACCTAAAATCCCAAGGTCTCTTTCAGCTGTGTAATTCTATCAGCCTACAATTCTACTTCCTGCCACAGGAAAGAGTTAAACAACAAAGTCTAAGTGCTGCCTCCACTTTGTTCAAAATTCAGTTTCCATGGAGAATTTTGCAACAAACACTACAGTATTGCCATAATTTAAAAGAAGAGTCCATCCAAACCAGCTATAGACCACTTCCCCAGAATGAGAGTAGGTAAAGGGAGTAGGACCTCAACTGTCAGATCACTCCAATCCACGGGGCAAAAAGGATACATCTTGATTCCTTTCTTCAACAAAAAATGATTTTCTTACATTCCATAAAGACAGCCTCCGATAACACAAAGCAATCAAATAAATCATACCCTATTAGTCTGCAAGTTAGTGGCTAGCCAAAGCCACAGCAATGTTGATACTACCTGGGAATTTAGTTCATTAACAACTATAAATCATATTATTCAGAAATAAAAGGAAACAAAATAATTCAATTAGACTTAATTAAAAATAAATGTGCATGAATGCACAAACTGGATTTCTTACACCAATCTTCCTCAAAATAGGCAGACTTATCGTAAAATGGTGGCAGAAATATATGTACATATATATATATATATGATTTTTATTAAATAATGCAAAGTAGGATTCATGAAGTAAACTCTGCTGGTATTTTCAAAATATGATTGTATGTACAAAAATAAATTCCCGGATAGTTTTAATTGTGAAGGCTTCTCATTAAAAGTCTTAAGCTATCTTTGTTTCAAGTCTATTACCAAATCCCATTCACTGGATTTCCAAATAAACTAGGTGAATTAATGACCATTAACTTTTAGCCTCCTAAACTTTCTTTTCTTTCACCCTTCTCCTTTCCTTCCTTTGCAATACAAGGTTAAGAATCCATTCTTCAAACAAAAATGGAGCAATAATCATAACTGCTGCTAACAGCTAATATCTACTCAATGTGTACTATGTTAGGTAATGTACTTTAATCTCATTTTATCTTTTAAAACTGACAATCACCATAAAAGAAATGAAGCTGATTAATACTATTAATGCTATGTAATAGTATTCTAGGAATAAAAGGGTTTTTTCCTCAGTATAAAAAATTATCCTGGTGCCTCTAAGATTCTAACACAATGGAACATTCAAAGACTTGATTGCCATCCTCATATAAAATAGACAAGGAAAATTCCTGACTCAAATTGCTTTTAATGCTCAGTCTAACAGTATGTGAAAGAACCTTCTGATTTACCCTAGGATAATAGTGACCCAGCTAGGGAGCAGGAAACCTGAACTCAAGAAGAGCTGGACTTGTATTTGTTATCTGTTACTTACTGTGTAACCGGGACAAGTTACTTATCCTCTCTGAGACTGTTTCTTTGTGTGTTAGAAGTAGATACCATGCACCTACAGTTTAGGAGGGTCAAGTGAGGCACTACGTCATGCACAGGCTTTCACAATTGCAGAATACATTGTTAGGCTATCATTACTGCTAGAACAAGAAGTGGGATGTGTCGGCACACACACCGAGCACTGAGAAACTCCAACTGAGTGCAAAACAGGCTAGAGAGGAGGGCTCAGAAGCAGCCAGCCAGGAAACCCAGGCAAGGAAAATTTGGATTTGTCTTCTTAATTAATCCAATGGGCTTCTGATATCTGGTCCAATGAACAGCTCAGAGGAAATTGATTTGTTAATAACGAATCGATCAGTAATAATAATTACTCAGTTTTGGGCTACAGATGTGGCCATTCCTTAGTAGAATGTTATTTGTGCAGGGGACCTGACTTATGGAGAGGGTTCAATAAATATTTGTTGAGTACTGAATTGAAAACAGGAAAGACTTGTACCTTCACTCCATTGGTGATTAGCTCAGCTGACTAAAACACCACATTAGTGAAGTAGAAGTAACAGGTTTAACCTTTGTATGAGTAGTTAATTTTGCTGATACTCTATATCACACACACACACACACACACACACACACACACACATACACGTTCTTTCTTGGCTATCTCACTAAGATATGCTATTTGATTAAAAATAAATCAGGCATACTTCCTATGCCATAATGAACACATCACCAATATCCCAAGAGAGATGCAAAAGAATGCCAGTCCATTCATATCTTCTTGATGAAAGAACAAACGCACATCACTACCCTCACCCAGAAAATGCAGTTCAGTCCAAGTTTTCTTACTAACCTCCACACGAGCAGACTTTCCATTCCAAATGTGGACTACACTGACCAAGGCCTACATCTAGAAGATTTCAGGCCCCTCCCCAGTACACCGGGACACTTGTTTACCAGAAATCTGTGGCATTTGTTCACAAATGTGATTCCAGTTGTACTTGTCACTGTACAGGGTAACTGAGTATCACATAAACTGACAACATTAAGTTTCTATGAAAAGCAAGCTGGTTTGAAAAAATCTAATAAAAAATAGCCACAGAAAAACAGTATTATCAGATGAGGGATGACCAAACCACTGTGTAAAACTGAAAATGAAGTAAAAATCCAGAAGGATATTGCTTGATGCACCTTTAGGGCTGCAACTCACTTTAAAAAAAAAAGCCCTAGTGGCAACAGTAGATTATGCTTTGTGAAGGTGACCCTGCAGGATGACGCAGTTGAAATCAGTGAGCCAGTACTCAAAGCCTGCAGCTCTATGACAAAGTACTGGCAATTCAGTGTATTAGTAACGTTTTGAGTCAAGTTCAAACATTGGAGGGTGTGTATTATTTTTTCATAATGTCCAACTTTAAGTCACATTTTTGAGTACTAGACAGGTTTTCAAAAAGCAATGAGAAGACTATTTAAATGTTTCTAATAACCACTGTTCAGAGTTCTGATAAACAAGCCTCCACAAATTCTGCAGAGGTAGTCATTACTGTTACAAAGGTACTATAAACAATCCTTTTTACTAACAGCAGGCACTTATCGAGTACAGTGTGGGCTAAGTACATCATGGAACCTTCACAAAGTTCCCACTGTTAACAGAATCAAACATGAAAAAACTGAGACAGAAAAGTTAAGTGACTCATCCTTGATCACACAGTGGGATAGTCAGCCTCTGACCGTGGCCCATCTAATCCTCCTGTCATCACTTACCTGCCAATGTTATTAACATTAAATATATGATTAAACACAACAAGCAACTACACAACAGTAGATTGCAGAACAAGCCCACTGATTTTAAGCATACGTACACATGTATAAAAAGACAGGAAGTTATAAATCGAAATGTTCCTTAGGGTCGTCTCTGAGTAATGTAGTTACAGCTAATTTTAGTTTTCATTTTTGTGTTTTGCTTAGCTTTTAAAACATCTGCAATGAAAAGACATTACTTTTGTAATCAGAAAGAAAAGGCTATATGGTAGGCTCTTATCCTTTATTTCTTACCACATGGGCAGGGCTGATTTGATTTTTAAAAAGATTCTATCAGTTAAATAGCATCAGGTTATTTTTATTTTTCAGTAACTATTAAAACATCCAAGGTTGGAGGCAGTATTTATCACCATTCTAAAAATATCTCTTCTTCGATGTATAAACCAGTATCAGACCTTTCTTTGCTATAGTTAATGCAGAGGGTGTTACAAAAACATAAACAAAATGAAAAGCCAAACAATCATTAGATACAAGTATTCAATAGCTTTCTACAAGGAAAAAGTCTTCAATGCAAATACAGCTATCGTTTCATTGTTTCATTACCTTTTCTGTAAACAAGTCTGCTGATAACAACAATAGTTATACTATCATGCCTCCTAAATGGATCTGGAGTGAAGTCAGTAGGATCTACTGCATTAGGAATGACGGACACTATTTCAGGATTCAGTGCTGCTCTTAGTACAGTATTTTCCTTACTAGTATAAGAGACACAAATGATGTGGTTTGTGTCACAAAGCGACACAGTTAGAAGCTTGTTTGTGAGCACCGAGCTGACATCAGCAAATCCAAAGAGGGAATGGTCCGTGAAGACTGTATGGAGCCCCATTGTCTTGGCGTGGAAGAGAGCATCATGGGCCATGGAAGAAAAAGAACTATGGGAATGGACTATCGTGACTCTCTCCCGAACAAATATGTACCTGAGCAATGGCAGACTGTGAAAGAGGGTCGTGGCTGTAGATTGGTTGTACATGACTTTCAGAGGCAAGTAATAGACTTTGAGCCCATTAGTGAGGTAACGGATGCCTTTTCGATTTCCGTAAGCATGGGTGACAATTATGACCTTGTGCCCTCTTTGAATCAGGCACTGAGAGAGCTGGTATATGTGGCTTTCCACTCCTCCCATGTTTGGGTAGAAAAAGTCAGATACCATGCATATATTATGAGAGTGGGCTGTACAGGTGGAAAAGCTTCCAGGGCTAACCAGGAAGAGTGGAGCTGAAGGAGCCTTGGCATCCCCACCTCCTCCTCTACAGGCCATGCTGAGATGGTTTAGACATCAGTCCTTAGAGCAACCCAGCTAAGATATGTGTCCTCTGTTGCCTGAAAGAGAGGAAAACAGGATCTCAGCTCAGAGACACAAGGCATTCCATATTCCAAACCTCCTTACAGTACTTTTACGGTTAAGGTACATTTATCAGCTTTTCCTATAGAAATAAAAAAAGCACATAATGAATTTACTCATTTGACACTTACTTGCTTAGCATTTACTGTGCCATAAACAAAACTAGACTCCGCAATGTCTTAACTGTGCTGTAAAAATACTATGTATAATTTTGTTCTTCCACACTATATAATGGTATGCAATGCTAAAGAGTTTGTTATTAAATATAAATACACACATACATATATGCATGTATGCTTATTTCCCCTCTACTGTTATCCCTTTACCAGCTTCTACTTATTAAATGGCTACTACATTCAGGCACTGTGCTAAGAGTTTTCTACGTTTTACTGTAACCTCACCAAAACCCTACAAAGTATTAAGTTTATATTCTAAATGGAAAGTAAGCCCCAAGGAGGTTAAGAAATTTGCTCCTCATCCCTCAGCTTTTTAGAGGTAGCACAACTGTTTCACTGATTACGCCTCCTCCTTGCATCTGGACCTGGTTTAACTCATAGATAGGATGCAGTAAAAAAGTGATGTGCCAATGTTTATGCTCGGCCTCAAAAAGGCCTGGTGGCTTCCACTTAAGTACTCCTGGCTGTATACACTAAGCAATTACATAAGCCTAACTACTGTGCTAGAAAGGTGTGAGAGACAATGTGAAAAAGGAAGAGCTCTCAAACTATGTGGAGAAAGCCAGAGCCCCAGCCATCTCCCTGTTATCTGCGCCCAGTTTCTAGCCAAATTGCTACCTGCTAAACGCAGCCTTCTTGGTGACCACTGGCAAGAACAGCAGAAGCACCACTAGCTAATCCCAGTACATTGCAAAATGGAGAAAAACAGTAAAATGGTTGCTGATTCACACCACTAAATCTTGGGGAGGTTTTACACAAAAGTATACATAAAACAGGCCAGGATTTGGATCTAATTACATTGGTCCACTCTGTATTTTTTTGTAAATAAAGTTTTACAGCAACACAGGCTTGCCCATTCATTTATTGTGAATGGCTACTTTTGTGCTATAACAGCAAAATGGTTGTGACAGACCACATGACCAACAGAGCCTAAAATATTTACCATCTGGCTCTTCACTGAAAGTTTGCTGATCTCTGCTCTATAGCTTAGCCACTGATGCAATTAATCTCATAAAGTTCTACTACTAGCTTTGTGTTTACACTAAAATATACCTGGAGCTGGAATTGTCTTTTTGAGAGCATCTTTTTCTAAGGTAACCTGGAGCTCATGCTGTGGACAATCCAAATTTTCTCCCTTCTGAACGATGATAATAAACAAACTGTTCCACCACTTTTTTTCTTAACCATTCTTTCCATTACATAGGTCTTTCCTCCATAATTATCCCTCCTTTCAGTGTGGAGTTTGAAAATAAAGGCTAAATCTGGGGCCATTTCCTACATCCTAAAGTGGGTAATGTTTATCTCTGGAGTCCTTCAAGGTCATACCAATGTGAAATATTCACTCAATATGCTGTACTACTATAGATTCTTAAGACTTTTAAAGCTAGTGTGCCTTGGAGATCTGGTGAAAATCTTCTTAGCTTTACAAATGCGATTTCCAGGGCTCCAGAAACTCAGCTATACAAAAGATAGTCATCTTAAAGCTCTGAGTTTCGAATTTCAACTGCAAAATCAGAAAATACAAATTAACTGTGTGCAGTCTTAACTACCAATTCTCTCCAACAAACTCATCTACATCTTAAATATATTCTCAGAAATACTCCATAAATGTTTGTGGAACTGAATTTAATAGTTAATATTCAGTATTACCAAATACTGAGATTCCTCATTGTTTGTTTGCACTTTTAAGTGGTTTAACTAACAGTGTCTTACAGTGTTTTGTCACCTAAACCTGAACTTACAGTTCTATTCAGTTTTAAAAGATGAATGATAACAAAAACAGTGAGTAATGAACCTAATTTAATTACTTAAACATTTTGGCATTAACTTGCAATGTTCTTCGAGGAGTCTGCCTAGCATCGGGTTATCATTCCCAATATCACTATCATTTATAAAGCTTATACAGCATACTCACAGAATCTTAGATTTTAACCGAGTCTCCCTCTTTAAAAATGAGAAGCCAGACAAGTTTGAGCAATTTGTTCAAAGCTCCCACCCAGGCACGTCACTGGCCAACTGGTGAAGATCTTAAATTTCTCGCCCATGGCCAAAGAATCCCAGGAAGTCAATAGCAGTAGAGGCTCTGGAGGAGCCTTACGCAGAGCCGGTGGAGGCTGGAGATCAAGAGGACACAATCCTTGGGCACTGACCAGGTTGCGCTCCTCGAGAAGTAGCTGCTGAGCAGTCGAGCCAAGGAGACGCCCCGCTCAGAGACCCCGCCAAGTCAGGCAAGATCTGGCCAGACCCACAAGACGGAGGAAAACAACCGGAAAGTGGGCAGGAGTCTGAGACTCGGGGTCCCCGAGATCACAGTCCCTCGCCCACCAGTCTCAGCCAAGGAACCGGTGCAGCTCTCCAATTCCCCTCGGCCCCACTCCATTCTGCAGACCCTCCGACCCGACTTCCGGGCCTGAAGCCCAGGAGGCTTCACCCTTCCACAGCCTGCCAGGCTCCCTCCCACGCCCACGGCGCAGCCCCGTCCGGAGGCGGGCGACAGTGATGGGGAGGAAAGGACAGACGCACACTTACCGGCGAGTCCCATGGCCGCCCAAGTCCGGACCTCCCGCGGCTGTAGCCAGAGTCCCGCCTCGCTACCCCCAAGGACCAATCCGGGGCGTCCGAGCCCGAGCGCCGCGCCCCCGAGGCAGACAATCAAAAAGTGGCGCTTAGATCACGTGCAAGAGCGACGCTCAGTCGTCCCCACCCCTCAGCGCGGGATGCAGCGTCACCGTGCGTTTGCGCATGCCTACTGGATGTTGCGGAAGGTTGTGTGCCTTCGCCCTCTGGTTGCCTAGTTTTAGCGTCTCTTTTCAGGAAGCAGGTTAACACCCTGCTTGCTTCTGATTGGCGAGACTTTCGTGAAAAGGCTACAGAAATCCAGGGTCATGGTGGCGTTTTATTTGTGATTATTTACCACAGCAGAACCGTGCTAGTTCTTATCACCCTGCTGGCGTTGCCAGACGCAGCATATAGAAATACACACAATCAAAGCAAATAAAAATATGAACCTTGAATTTTATATAAGTATGTCCCAAACATTGGAGACGTCACTAAATATTTATTTGACATTCAGATTCAGCAGCACATCTGTATTGTATTGGACAGCCCTGCACTCTGGGGTGGCCGGGAGAGTGGGATCTGAGGTCTGACTTGAAATATCTAGTGCTACTCAAACTGATTCAACTAGCTGTGGCGATGTTTAGCCAGAAGGCTAAAGAATCCGTAGGAGTGGGCTGTTACAGCCGGTATTTGCAGTTCCTCAGGCCCGCTATGCTTGCACTTTTGAGAACTAATTCCTTTCTGAGCACCATGATCACCACCGTTACTAGCACCCCTTTAAGACCTTGAGTAACCCTATTAAATCCTGAATATATGGGTTTTATTTTCCCGATGCCCTTCTCAAGCCTCCAGAGATAATTAAATGATTCCAGTATTTTCACAGTACCTTGGCACTGAATATTTACGCTTCAGCTTCTGTCATAGGCACTGAGGATTAAAAAGTAAATAAATCATGATTCTGCCTGTCAAAGACTCACAATCTCATATGACACACCACCGCATTTATAGTCAGTTAAATCTTAAGCAACAGTATCCATTTAAGGTTATTTTCTAAAAGCCAAAGGAAAGTTTTAGTAGCAGAATTGAGAGACAAGGCTGAGGATAATTTAATTATATAGTATTCTACCTAAATATGTGACCTCACAGTATGAATTAGGGAATTTTCTTAGAAACCACTAAAATTAGACCAAAATACTTAATACACTGTGTTCTGATTACACTTAATAAAACATAAGAGCAATCAGTACCACTTCTAGTACTAAATGATCTAAAATGGAAAATAAATGTGGAACTTATCTTCTCTTGAAATGCAACTCTTTGGGCTGGAGATGTAGCTCAGCAGCACAGCACCTGTCTGGCAAGCACAAGACTCTGAGTTCCATTTCTGGTACGAAAAAAAGAGAAAGGGGGGGGGGGAGGCAACTCTTTGCAAATGCATATGGAAATTACATTCTTTGGATAATTTTGAATTGGGAAGGCAAAGAATGTATATTAAAAGCCTCCCATCAGTGCACAAGGCACAATGCAGAGAAAAATGTGGCATGAGCCTTACCCCTAAGGAACCGAGATGGAGTTAAGGCACAAATCATCTAGGATAAAAGGAAGTGGTAAGTGCCGTAAGAGAAATACCAGAAAAATACTGGAAGTTCAGAGGCAAAGAATATTTCTATCTGGAGCATTTAGCTAGAAGAATAAGTAGAGGATGTCCATGCAACTCTTCAGAGCAAGATCATTTCATTAACAAAGTGAACAAGGTACAGAGACGGGCACTGATTGTCCATTGAACATTATTGTGTAACTACACAAGGGAAGAGATTAGGAAAACGTACAGACAGGAAAAGGGTGACATCTTTAGTGAAAGTTGGAGCAAACTAGTAGAGCATCCTACTAAAGAAGGTGAATTTGATGTTGAGCCAGTCTTCCAGACAATATGATATTTTCAGTTAATATTTTGAGACTTCACTCCTCCTGCTTCAAATAGAAAACTGAGGATAAATAGAACATAAATGAGAAAAGTAAATGTTTTAGCTGTAATTTCAAAGAGAAGATAAGTATTTCCATGTATCAGAAACAGAACCAAAGTGTAAAATGGTCATCAGGACCAAAGTCACATAGGTCCTGGACTCTGTATGTGGCAAAGGGAAGACATGAATCAGGGTTCCGCTCTTGTAGAATAATAGAAATTGGCAGGATTCCATGTGTGGCTAGAGACAGGAGCCAATCTTGTGAGAGAATGTTACACTGGTGGCCTTCAATAAATCACTTGCCAATATTGGCACCCTTGTCTAACCCCCTCTTACACTGACTTTGGGTTTTGGCCATGTGACTTTCCAATTGAAAGCAGTGATCATGCTATAAAGCTAAGGCAAGATGCTGAATGATGAAAAGTCACATGGAGAGACTCTAAAGAATGAGAGCAGTAGGTGAGTTCCCAGCTTAATGTAACCACTAAAATGACTTTAGCCTATGCTATGTGAAACAAAAGAACCACCTAGCTGATCTTGGTCAACTCACCGAGTCATGAGAAATAATGCCATTGTTGTCTCAAGGCACTAAGTTTTATGGTGGTTTGTTACATAGCAGCAGATAACTCAACTAGGTTTCATTGCTTAATCATTTCCCCCACTTGCCAATGAAGAATGAAAGAGTTTGTGCCAACAGTCATTGCTTTTCTGGAGATATAAACTTGTTTACTAACCTGAGCCAGGCAACATGATTTACAATATGTCACTATCACTACTAAACAGAGAGAGAGAGAGAGAGAGAGAGAGGGAGAACTAACTCAAAATTAGTTTGTAAGTATAAATTCCAAAACACTGGAAGAGATATACTAAGACAACATACAAGTCTAATAATGGAAGTTGAATTCACTGTAGAAGCAATTAAAATAATATGAAAAAATTTAAATGAGAATTTGAAAACAAAAGCATGTAGACATGAAACAAACATCAATGTATAGAATCAATTAGCAATCTTGAACACGAAGTTAGTAATATTTTAGAAACTCATTAAACCGATAAGAAATTTAGGTGAGACACAGTTGAAATAAAAATTAGTATGATGGAAAATAATGCTGAGGAAGTCGCTTTTCTTCGGTGCAGGACATAAAGATGAAATATCAAACCACAATCGAAGCCTTTTCTATGGGAAATTATTCTGGTAGCTGAAGGAAAGGAGCATGAAAGAGTGGCACAGCTGGAGAAGAGACCCATTGGGCTCTCTCAGTAGTTCTGAGGCCCCTTGCAATTCAAAACATTGTCTTGAGATCACAGGCAGCAGCAACATCTGGGAACTGAAACATCCAGATTCTAGGGCCTTACTCTAGATCTACTGAAAAAGAATCTACACTGACAAGATACTGACCGAGTGATTAATATGCACATTAATGCTTTAGAAGTGTAGCTCTATTTTAGTGATGTTCTTCAAAGGCCTTAAAGCACATTGTGTGTGTCACCTCCTTTGTGGAGTGTCTCAGACAGTGTTTTAATCTTCATTCACCTCTGATCATCGTGCTGCCTGATCTGTTTCCACCTCCACAGGGATTCCCATCACATTGTCCTGGTTACAGATTTATCATCCACACTATCATATTAATACTCTGGCCTCGTGGCTTAGATAATCACGAACATCAGACATCACTGGCATTTACTGTTTGCTTTAAGCTCTTGGGGCTTCACACATTTTTATTTTTCAACAAATTGAGAATTTCCAGTTTACTTTTCAGTGATATGCATATGACAAATATTTCTGTGCAATTACTAGTGTACTCTAATAAAGTAATAGCCAGTTACCATACCTCTACCTTCAAGGACAAGTCCCATTGTGACCCAGCCCCAAGGATGCAAATGTAGGTCCCATGGCAATTATTGGTAATTGAGCAAGAAGTAGAGGGAGGCCAGGTGGTGAACAGTTTGGGCCCAGCCCAGGGCTTCCTATAGTATCTGCATCTAAATGACAATTAGAAAGCCAGAGCCACTTCAAGTCAAAACATAGTTTTAGTTGGTTGTAGGACTCATACAAGGATTTAATATAAGCCAGGAATTTTCCAGAAGTTCCAAACTCCTGGGATTTTCCCACCATCCTGCTTCTTTTGTTTGAAATAATTTCTTTGATTTATAGCGTGTATTTTATTGTTCAAATTTTGTTTTCACTACTGATAACTCAAGTGAAATAGTCAACTTAGAGATGGAAGGGAATGATATTATCATCCATATTTGACAAATGAGGAAACAAGGCAGAGTGAGGTCGATCGGCCTCACAGTGGCATTAGGAGGCAGAGCCTGTCCTTAGATGCAGATTTCCTCTCCTCATTAGTAATTTGGCCTCTCTCTTTTATCAGCCAAGGATTAGCAATGTGACTACTTTAACTGTGTGTGTTGGGTTGTCTTTTGCCCGGGCTGTCAGGGAACTTAACCAAATGTCATGGGGGTCAGGGGAGGTGGTAGAAACTGATTGAAATGGCAGAGCAAAGAGTTGAATGCTAAGTATCTTGTACAACCTAAATTAGAAGGATGGGAGCCCTTTCAGAAACCTGATTAAAAATAATAAAACAAGAAAAGAGAAGCCTTTGACATCAAAGCAATAAAGTGAGGGGAGAGGACAGTGGTAGGAGAGAAGTGATGGGGTCAGCATCAGTAAATGACAGAAGTAATGATAATGGCAGCACAGTGGGAACTGGTCTTCAAACTGAGGGGGAACCCAAATAAACCATCTGGCTTCTTTTGCTCTTAGTTACTTGATGTTAGTTAACAATACAAATCACTAATTTTAGGGGTCACACAGCTGATTAATATACTATTAGTCTCCCACTGACTCCCCTAATATGTAGGTCATAGTGATAACAGTTGCCCAGGTTAGTTTTCAGAGATTTGAGAGCTGCATTTGTTGAAACCACCGCCTCTTCACTTGAGCCTGAATGGGTGGTGTCTGCATGTGTGACTTTTCGAGGTCAGGAAGCTGAAAACTCCTTCCTCAGGTTATGCTAATCCCACCATTGTTTGGACATGTGTCCTATGAAAACCATGAAGATTCATTTCACATGTGAAGACCACTGAGTCCTGAGTATGTCACCTGCAATCGCCTCTCACCTTGCTTCTTTATTCCCTAAAACCCTACCCCCAGTGAGGTGAATTGGAGACTTGGGGCTCCCACTTCCATGCTTGGCCACCTTTTGCATAAACTTTCTCTTTCGCAAAATTCATTGTTTCAATGACTGGTAAATTTTGTGGCAAGCAAAGCAAGCCTGGTTCAGTAAGAGTCCCATGGCTAGGTGCAAGCAGTGCATGCCACTAGGGAGAGACTAAGAATTAAAGCCAGGAAGGATCAGAGGGCCCGAAGCTACAGGCCTCAGAGAACTTCAGTGAACAAAGGGGAAATCCAGGAGCCGTGACCCAGGAAGGGCAGAAATTTAGGTCAAGATCCAACAGTGCTAGATTTGTTTATCGTTATCTTTTTCCTTGTGATTGTTTTGTTCCTGGATGGTCTGTTCTGAGAGATTTGGGTTACAAAAACTTGATAAGCACAGTTTCTAGTCACAAGAGACTTGTGGTATAGTAAGGAGATAAACATGAACATTGCTGTTTGCACAACTATGTGCTAAGTGCTGTAATAGATTGTGTGTCTGTGTCTATAGATCTGTGCAAGATATGACAGAGAGATTGATTTTTAAATTATTTGATAAACAATGCTGCTTGTGCTACTACTAAATCTGATAGATCAAAATTTCAGCAAAAGCCATGCCACCAACATTATATGTAGGGGTTCTTTGGGGGAGAGCGACAAAGAAAAAGGTTTGTGCTTCCTTCCTGGGTAGCTATGGAACGCAGAAGAATTATCTTGCCCCAAGAGTTGAGATATAAATGCGATTGAGAATTGAGCAAGTGCAGAAACTTGGAGCCAGAGGCACCAGAAGAAATGTAAGCCCTTAAAGATGTCAAAGGTACTGGTAGCCTCTTCTTTGTCACGGGATGGGGGTCAAGTCAAGTTCAATTTGATCTCAAAGGACAGAGTAATTCCCACTGCTCTTTGGGTCACATTTACTTAACTTTGTTTAGAATCATAAACTTTCCAAGAACAACTCCATTGGTTTCCCAAGACAGAGGTCTAATTTTTCTGGGTTCATGTCTCTCCCTGCACCACCCACTTCTAATTGCTTTTTCCTATTTCAAATATTTTTTTCTTTAGCATAAAATGGAGAGTGGAAGCATACTAAATAACACAAAATTCTATGGCTTGAATAATGATGTTTATTTCCTTTAAATACACTTAAATATGAAATGTCAGACAGTAGTTCACTAAATTTGAACACTACAAGCTGGACAGGAATTAGGAAGTCAGTGCTGATCATACAAATGAAATTCTGCATAAGAAAGAATCAGAGTAATTCTTGAGAATCGCACTTAGCAAAGGACTCAGAGACTGCAGTTTTCCTCATCCCCTCCAAGTAATCAATCACATGGCCCCTGTCATTCCAGACAAACACATCTTTCTCATTCACCAAAAGATGGGCTCCACAGATTCTTTCCTCTCCATCTTTTAGTGTGCAGAGACATCTGCAGCTAGAAGTCCTCTGTCAGTGAATCAGGAAATATCAGCTGTTGTTGGATGGAAGGTTGGTCTGGATTCACTGTGGTGCTACAGAAAATGGACTTTTCTGTTACCTGAAGGAAAGAAAAACAGGGCCAGTAACCCGGAAAAGCAACATGCTGTTTCAAATGATAGGAATGAGGGACTTGGAACAAAGTTGAATCAAGGATTCTCTTGGCTGTGGAGTCCCTGGGTGGCCTTTTTCTCCTTTGAAAAGCAGCAGTGCTTTGCACATGCTGGTTTTCCATTTGCGCAAGTTCTGGTATGAAAAGGGCATCTGTCCTCACAGCTGTCACAAAAGAAAGTGAAAATGAGACTTTAGAATTCAAAGGAATAGCTGTTCTGACTTGATTACGTTTTTAAAGGAAATTTTCAAGACGTGTATTTAAAAAGTCAATATAAAATCTTGAATAGAGACCCAAAATCTATTAAAGCTCAATCAATAATCTCCAAGTGTTCTATTCATCAATAAATTTCTCGCTTATATAAATTCAGTGACATCTCCTTCATCAAAGAAAAAACAAACATATATGGCCATTTACAGTGAGAGAGAGATTGAACCAGAGTTTGCTGATCTGAACCTCTGCACCCCAAAATGGTTTAAATTTCATCAATTTAGTTTTTGCTTAAGAACAATAAATTCATAATAGCAGACTGGATTTTCTTAATTTCATGATTCATCATCCCTCTATATACTTTCACTTAATCCTCAGTCACCCCACTTGTTTATCGTTAATAAGGAACTTGGGCACTGAGGAAAAAAGTTACCTTAATAAGGAATCCCACCAAATCAAAATGTTATTTCTATTAAATATGAATCAGCCAAGTTAAGGTGAAAGTGAAAAAGCCATTGACCTGCATGTGTCTGGATGAAAAATCTTATGCTTCTGGCAGCAACTCTCCAGACTTTCTTTGCATTCGAAGCAACTGCAGTTTTCCGGGTGCTGGATTAGATTTCTGGGACATGGTGTTTTACAGACACACTCACACCGATCTTCATCAAACTTCATGTGTGGCCCACAGAGAGCCGGTTCCTGGAGATGAGAGAGGTCTAAACAGAAACACAAAAGTGTTGGTCCAAGAGCTTATCCTGATAATGTGATCACCAATGCTGATTGCAGATTCCACATCATCCTAATATAACTTGGACTCACCCAATCTTCTTTCCTATAGATTTTCACCCTTAGTGTTTTCACAGGATGAAGGAGATTCATTCCTGATTTTGCAGGACAAACACAGAATTCCTGTGTTTCCTTAGGTTTGTGACTACCAAAATATCATCATCTGAATATTTCTAAGAGATTTTTAGATTGACAATTGTTGAAAACGCAACTTTCACAACCAAGCATTCACACTAAAATATAAGATATCTTAGCATTATGAGCCTAGTCATCCTGAGGTTTTTTTTGAAGATTAAAAGCAGAGAGGAACAGAAGTATTGATGCTGCAGGAATATACCTCAGAACTCCAAGAGGGTGGCAACAGTGATGCAGTCCCTTAACTCAGGTCATTTCACTGGTATAAGAGATGCAACAGTGTTGGTGAACTTGGGTTCCAGACATTAGCTGAAGATACATTCAGCCAAAGAGAAGGCTCAGAGAAGTCTTTGACACTCTCAGTGGAGAGATACTTCTAGAAGGTGTACAAAACAACTGGGTAGCTGCTACTTCATGTCCAATCCTAAACAGTATGTTGGAATTCTTTGCAAACAATGAGAGACAGAAACTTGGGGAACTGTAGTGCCTGTCAGTGTTTAGAAGTGTGCATTTTGTAACTCATTTTAGTATGCTACTTTTTTGTTTAATTTTGTGCTTTTAATAAAGTATGTAAATTTCAAAAAAAAAAAAAAAGAAAGAAAGAAACTTGGGGAAAACTTGACCTTGTCATCTTAGCATTCTCAAAGGCTTTGGAGGAAAATGTATGCTTCCTCTCTATACCTGCTTCTCTCCCAGTTTGCCTCATTTGGAAAATGGCACCATCATTCTTTGCTCTGCTAGTCATCTTTTCCCTCTGGTATCTTTCCCAGTGTCTTCAAGTTTAGCTAGGTACCCTGTGTTTGTACATATTTCCATTTTGTCCCCTGTTATTACTTGAACTGATTACATTAGTCTGTTTACTCCCATTTGTGCCCTTAAGTAAAACATTCTGAAGGCTAAGGGCTGGGTCTTATTGTTCTGGCATAAAATAGGCATTCAATAATCATCTGTTGGATTTATTTGGTGTAATAAGGAGGATCTCGAAGCAGGCTGATGTGTCTGAAGAATTCTATTCAGTGCTTTAAGACATTAGGTTAAACCACACCATGTTCTTGCCAATATCTGACCATTAACAGCATACCAAAATGGCAATCACATGTCATTCGGTCTCATGATTTTGACTGCTGTCTAATTGCTGTTTTAGAAATGATGTGGAATGGACTTCTGGAAAGACTTCATTCTGAATTTTGTGAAGAGGAAAAAGGTGAGCTTTATAAACCTACCCCAGTGAGGCAGATGTCACTTGAGGTAAGATGAGGCTACATTGTTAGTTTAAAAAACAAAATAAAACAAAAAAACTCTTAAAAGATTTGCATTGATCACTAGGTGGCAGCAGAAATCCACCCAGAACACTTTATGCAGGACCAACTTCATTTCTTGGACAGCATGGGTTAAAAGTGGTGTCGAACCTATGGCATACATGCCACAGCCGGCTGTTAGTCATCATGGAAAGGTCTAAAAGGTTTGCCATCACTGGCTGAGGGAAACAGTCACCAAAGTATTTGTTGAACTTCAGCAAATTATGTGGCAGAGTCAGTCCTTACATCCTTATGGGCAAGTTAAAAGGAATAGAGACCAGATGCAGGCAAATTAGGCAGAGCAGCAACTCACTGAGAGTGATTCAATGACCATCATGTATTGATTTCCATCTGTAGAGAGGTTGATGGTGGGTAACCAGTGTATTTTATCCTTGTTCAAGGTATCAATTATAACAATGAACTGATGGAGTTTTAAAAAAGAAATTCTTGAAATTTGGCTCTCTTGAGAAAGGAAGCGACATATCAAATGTTTTAAAATACAGAATTGAGACTCCTTCATTTTTTCTTTTGCTTTTTGTTTGCTTTAACAATTTAGAACAACGACTTGAATCTGACAATATGTAATTTAGTTGGACTTGGATTCACTAACCCAAAATGCACTCATTTGGTGAAGAAAGGCAATTTGTACAATTTGTACAAAAGGCAATTGGCTTAACAGCTGCATATGTGAAAAGGTGTATAGTGAAGAGGAAGACCAGTATATGTCATTAGCAGTTTGATGGGACCATTGGAGAAATGAATGTGAACTTGGGCACATCAGGGAGTTATGGCAGATGAAAATTACAAGTGATTATGATCCAGTCTGTCCATGCCTCCCACTTCCATCACTGCTACAACTGATGATACTTTGGTAGTCACAAACCTAAGAAAACACAGGAATTCTTTGTTTGTCCTGCAAAGTCGGAAGTGAATTTCCTTCATCCTGTGAAAACATTAAGGGTGAAAATCTATAGGAAAGGAGATCGGTGAGTCCAAGTTATATAACTGAACAAATAAGTTGATGCTCTAGAGCTGGGCCATCCAATGAGGTAGTTCTGGGCCATATGTGGCTACTGAACATGAAATGAAGAGTCTGAATTGAGATATGCTGGAAGGGTAAGCACACATTCTATTTCACATGCTGAGCACAAGAAATATAGGCTATCTCATTAATAAGTTTTATATTGATTGCAAGTTGAAATGATACTATTTTAGACCTATTGGATTAAATAAAAATGTATTAAAAATAATTTCACCTATTTCTATCTTTTAAATGTGAGTAATATAAAGTATAAGTTACACATACCTAGGAATCCATCTAATGAAGGAGAGATGGAAGAAGATATAAGAAAATGGAAAGATATCCCTTGTTCTTGGATAGGAAGAACCAATTTAGTGGAAATGGCCATACTTCCCATATTGTTATACAGATTCAATGCAATCCCAATCAAAATCCCAACAGCATATTTCACAGAATTAGAAAAAAAAATCCTAAAATTCTTTTGGAACCAGAAGAGACCTAGAATGACAAAGGCAATTATGGGCAACAAAGGCAAAGCAGGGAGTATCACAATCCCTGACTTTAAATTATATTACAAAGCTACAGTGGTAAAAACAGCATGGTACTGACAAAAGAACAGACCACCTTCAATGGAAGAAAGCCTTTTAATGAATGGTGCTGGAAAAAACTGGCTTTCCACATGCCAAAGATTGAAAATAGATGCATATCTTTTACCATACACTAACCTAAAATTGAAATGGATCAAAGATCTAATATTAAAACAGAAACACTAAATCTGCTGTAAGAGAGATTAGGTAGAATTCTTGAGGACATAGGAGTAGGCAAAGACTTCATGAACAAAACCCAGACCACACGGGAAATACTACAAAGAATCAACAACTGGAACCTTATCTTATTAAAAAGCTTTTTCACAGCAAGAGAAACCACCAACAGAATGAAAAGACAACCCACAGAGTAGAAAAAATTTTAACCAGCTATTCTGATAAAGGAGTATTATCTAGAATATATAAAAACTCAAAAACATCAGATTCCCCAAATTTAAAGACTCAATGCAAAAATGGGCATCTGAAATGAACAGACATTTCTCAGATGAAGAATTAGAAATGGCAAATAAATATATGAAAAAGCGTTCAACATCACTGTTCATTCATGAGATGCAAATGAAAACAACACTGAGATTCCATCCACCTCACCCCAGAAAGAATGGCTGCTATCAAGAAATCATCCAATAACAAATGCCGGCGGGGGTGTGGGGAGAAAGGAACCCTTCTCCATTGTTGGTGGGAGTGCAGACTGGTGCAGCCACTGTGGAAATCAGTGTGGAGATTTCTCAAAAAACTAAAACTAGAGGTTTTATTTGACCTAGTTATACCTCTTCTTGATATCTTCCTGAAAGAATTAAAAGCATCATACCATAGCGATATATGTGCACCCATGTTTATAGCAATGCCATTTGTTTTTTTTGTTTTGTTTTGGTTTTTTATTTTTTATTTTTTTTAGCAACGCCATTTGTAATAGCGAAAGCTTAGTAACAGCCCAAGTGCCCATCAACTGAGAAGTGGATAAAAAGATGGGGTTTTTTATACAATGGAGTACTACTCTTCCATAAAGAAGGAGGGCTTCAGACATTTATAGCTAAATGGATGGACCTTGAGACCATACTCTTCAGTGAAATAAATAGGACACACATGTTTAAATACTGGATTGTTTCTCTGGTGTGAGAAACCCAAAGTGGAAATAAGGACCGAAATGTATAATGGATGTTGGGAAATGGGAAGAAAATGTTCAAATGTGAAAGGGAACAAGGGAGGAGGGAGGGAGAAAGGAAGGAAGGGACAAGGAAAAAGTGAAAATAGAAGGAAAAAATGGAAGCAAAGCTTTTGTACATAGGGAGAGGAGGGGGCCTGGGGGGGCGGGATAAAATAAAATAAAATTTAATTAAAAAATAAGTTACATGTGTGACTCTCATTATATTCCATTGGACAGTCTGCCCTGGAGTGAGAAAGATTTAAATTCAATATCGCAACAAGAATGGGTGCATTCAAGAATGGTGCTGCCTTGCTGGGTGAAGAATTTCCCCATACCTGATGTATATCCTGGCTAAAGGTGGCTGAACTCTTTGTGGGGAAGAGCATAAAGGACGTTCCATATCGGCATGGTCATTTCAACTACATGAACTTTATAGTTTATCTCCCACTCTGCACTGAAATTTCCCAAAAATGTTTAAAAGGAAGCTGAGAGACAGAACAATAGGAAATAGGTTGCTAGTTACAATTTCTGAGATGGATTTCTTAAGCAGTGTCTAATTCTTACTATTCTTGCTTGAAGATCACAGTTCAAAAACAAGATTCAAATAATATTGTTCCTTGTCATTCTTTTCCCAGTGGTATCATGTCAAGTTCTCTGGAAAATAAATTTTATCAGCCTTCATTTTCAGCACCAAGCACTGTAACACTATGGATGGTGACATAGCCAGGGTGACAGCCCTATCTCATTCTCTTCCCAACTCTTCTTAGCACAGTAGCCATGTTTTGCTTTTATTTTACTCTAGTCCAGAAAAATTTTCCTGTGCTCCCCATTTCTTTTTTCAAATTATTGGCATGATTTCACGTGATGCAGTTGAAAGAAACCAGTTCCAAAATTATCTTATATTCCCATGAGGCTTTTATACAAATGGATCAGTAAAATGTGATTGACTAGTGTTTGGTTCTGAAGTGGTTTTCACTAACACATAGTGTCTTCTTTTGAATTCAGTGCTTTGGGATGTTCTAATCACATTCAGCTTTGAGATGAAAAAGCACAATGATGCTTTGGTGGACTTACTATATGATCACAGTGCAGCCAGCTCTAGAATCTGACTGCTTCCATTACTCTTAGCTGTGTGACATTGAGGGAATTACTAAACATCTTGGTGTGTCAATTTTTTGATTCTAAAATTGGGATAATAATAGGGTTGTTGTGAAGATAAATGAGTTAATACATATAAAAGGTTACACATTGCTTGTTCACAGTACTCAATAATTTCATTGCTATTTTGTAATTTTTATGATTGCTATTATTATTTCACTACTGCTATCATTACCTTCCATTCCAGCCAGTGGATTCTCATCCTGTAAAACACATTTACATTTGTTGTTATCCCATAGCATGTCAATAGGACAAAATTTCTTGGAATGGGGACAGCTAGGAAAAGAAAACAATGAACCAAATTTTAAAGTTTTAAAGAGTAACTGTAATTTTGGACCATTAAAAAATTTATCAGAGAATAGTTAAGATTTTAAAAATTTTATTGTTCTTAAAATTGCCGTTATACAGGAAGAATAAGTGAGAGCTACTGTATTGTATGGCATGGTGGCTATAGTTAATAAAAAGGTATTATATATTTCAAAATTGCTAACAGTACATTTGAAATGTTCTCACTTTAAAAATGTAATTATGTGTGAACAGTTAAGATTTTAAGGAGCTTAATTATACATATGAAGTGCACCTAATTAGATAATAATTCTATAATTATAAATATTCTATTGGGAAACATTCAGAAACCAAACTGTAATTTAGGAAAGTTATTTATCTCTTTAAAAGATGGATGATAAAACTATGCAAATTACTGCTGTCAATAGTTTATTTACCAAAATAAAATATTGTTCTAAGAGAGCTTCTAAGATGATTTTCTCTAAAATAGAGATAAGAACACTGGTCTTGGCAGCAGGGATATCTTAAAAACAAATGTTTCTCTCTACAAGCTTTCTTTTCTGTTCAGGAGGCGTCAGTCTTCCTAGGTTCAGTGTTACCAGCATATAATCACAAACTCGCTCTTTCACTCGACACTGACATGATAGCTGTTTTGCTTTATTCAGTGTTTGTAATTTGCCTTTTCCTTCTCTATATTCAATTCTTTCTCTATATATTAATTTCTTTCTTCCTTTCCATGATCTTTAACTTTGGTTTCAGAACCCATCGTGTCATACTCTGTCTCATAAAGGATCACAAAATTAGTCTAAGTAAAATTTTAGAGTCAAGTTAATTTTAATTCATTTCAATTTAAAATAAGAATTTTCTATTTGGTAATCTTCAGGGGGAAAGGTTAGAAAGTTGCAAAACTCATATACTGATGGTTCTGGCACTTCCCAGTGATTCTGAAAATCCTTTTGAAAAACATCTTTCTTCTCATTTCGGGACATAAACATACATATAGCCTGAAATGAGCCTTATTTAATGCTTGTTTTGAAATGAAAGGACATACGTCAAATTAGAAGTTGATGCAGTTTTACAACCACATTGGATTATGCATATTAAGAAAAAAACTTAAAAGAACAAAGATGTCTTACAAGTAGACGTGGTGAGTTCATAATCACTGAGCTTTTTAGTGCTATCACAATATACATCTAACACCTAATAAAATATGTTTGCTAAACAGTTACTATCAGTAGATCTGGGTTTGAAACTTAAAGACAAAATACTTAAAGACAAAATGGTGACTATAATTAACAAAGTATTCTCCACACCCAACTTTGGTGAAGGCAAGAACAAGCATGCTAGAGTACAAGAAATGCTTACCGATCCTCCTCGGGGATCTGGATGGATCTTCTAATAATTGAGTACGAATGGCGGGGGGCTGTGGGCAAGCACTTACAACCTGTATGGTTGGCAACTTTAACAGGCACTAATTCAGGTACTGATGTCAAAGGCACTGATATCTCAAAGAGCTATAGCAGAGAAGAAAGTACCTTGTGAATGTACAGGTTATTTCATATCACACACTATTTTTTAAAACTCCCGCAGTCTGAATGTTTGCCCTTGTCGTTTATGTTAGTGACATTAGCACAGTTGTCCATTAGGAATGAAAGTACTCGGTATGAGAGCTGGAAGAATGCTGGGCTGGCACTCAAAAGACCAGGCAGCCATGCAGCTTTATGAAGGGTCTACTTTTTAGTCAAACCGCTTAAGTTTGTGTCATTAGTACCTTTGTAAAATGGTAGTGTTGGCCCCTGCTCTTACTTTAAATTTGAGTATTAATTGTAATGATTAAATGAGATTAAAACTATGAAAACTTTGGGATCTTGGTGGATTAAAGTATTATTCAAACTATTTACCTGTTCCTTCTCACACCATCTCTATTGAATAAATAGATTTTCCTGCCTGTTGACTTTGAACTTGGTCGTGTCACCACTTTGGCCAATGGGATGTTAGCAGACATGACCCAAGTACAAACTGGGACTGGGCATGCTTTGTGCGGTTTGTTTTCTCATGTCTGTGCTGAAGCCATGAGAAGAAAATGATCTGGAAGCCTGGCTGGTCCAAAGGGTGAGAGACACAGGAACCAGACCTGGACTTAAAAGGCAGCTCTGAGTCAAGCCCAGCCGGGCTCACCCTGAACTAACTGAACCTCAGTTATAAGAGTAGAATAACTCATTGTTTGAAGTCCCTGAGTTTTAGGGTGTTTGTTATATAATATTATGTATTAATAGCTGGTCTAAGATCATCATGCTTCCAAAAGTATAGCTAACATGTACATCATTCTTGCTATGTTTCTATATGGCAGGCCCCGTTGTATGCACTTCTATGAGTATGTTAATTTATTTACCTCTTGTAAAAACATTATGGGCTGGGTTTCTTATTATCCTCATCCAGATGAAGAAACAAATGCACAGAGCTTATGTAACTTTCTAGACTGGTAATCAATAATAATCTAATCAATACTTACTACAGTATCCATTTATTTATCACTTTGTTTCTAAGAGGTAGTTCACCACATAGTTCTCTTTGGGGCGAGAGGTGGATTTTTAAAAGCTCTATTAAAAAGTTCACATATGCATATTTGGAAGGAAAAACTGCTGTACACTTAAGTACATTCTTTAAAACTAATCACTTGTTGAGGACAGCAGTCAAAACAAAGTACTCAACTATCTACTAAGTGGAAACAATCCATTAAGATTGTGTTTATTCTGACCTCTCAACATGTAATGAAACTTCCATGACACTAAGAGTTTTCTACAGTGTTTACTTTGCATAAAATTTGTCTTCTTGCACAACTCTTCAGCTATCTCTAGAGAATAACATGATCATGAACTAAACCTCTTTCATTATGCAAGTTTTGTTATACTAACAGTTGATGCTTAGCCATACTTATGTCATTTTTTTTCTAATTGTCAAATAGCAGGTCAGATTTTTCACAAGTTTAAGATTTTCTAAAAGGATTTAGAAAAGAAATTGCATCTTAAAAGATATTTTAGATGGTAGGGAAAACAAAATTAAAGGTAATCTATTAACAAAACATATTGCTATTAAAAAAATTACCTAACATGGACATATTTGGCACATACGCAATTTTATTGAACTACTTCATAGAATGAGAAGAATGGATGATATAGGTAAATGTGACAAATTAAATGAATACATCAATATGTGGGGGATTTGCAATGTAAGAGCAAAAGGAATGCAGTTTGACTTACAGCTGTTTTTGTTTTGGGGGGCAGTCCTAGGGATTGAACCCAGGGCCTTCATGCTGAGCTACAACTCCTGTGTTTTGTTTTTGTTTTTGTTTTGAGGAGGGTTTCGCTAAGTTGTTGAGTTGGCTGGGCTCAAACTTGAAAACTTATGATCCTGTTGCCTTAGCCTCCCAGAATGCCCAGAGATTTGCAGCTTTTTGGTAATGTTTTCCTAAATTGCCATTATGGCTTCCATATGCAACATTTACTGCATTTTACAACAATATGGTAGCCATAGAAAGGAAAACTAACCCACTGGGCAAAGGAGATTTTATAAAATGAACAGTGGAGAATGGACTGCAGAGCATTTTCAAAGGTCTTTTGTGCTGGATATTCTTTCTCCCCTTGCTTTTTCAGAGACACCATCTTCCCTCCCAGGCTCTGTGCTCCAGGTCACGAGCCTCCGTGGACTGCTCTTCCAGGCCTCTTGCCTCTCCCAGCGCCTGCCCCACTCCCTGCCATGCTAAGGGCTGGTAGCAGCCAGCCCAGCAGCCCTCTGTGCCTCTTTCCCTCTGGGCTCCTATAGCTGTGCCCTCTTCTGGCCTTGTCAGTTTAGGGGTGGGAACAGCTCCCGTGTTTTCGCTAGTCACAGGGGCTTCACCATTCCTTTCCTCTCTCTCCAGCTCTGTCCATACCATTCATTAAACTCTTCCCAGTCACTCCATTTTGGCAACACAGAACGGATCAGATACACAATCCCTTCATTTCTTTTAACATCCTGTTCTAGTAACTTCCATGTGTCTTTCTGATTCTTCACATTATATAATGAGAGACTAATCAATGAATTCAGGCTCTGCAGTCCATACACTTGACTTTGAGTCCCCTGAGCCTGTTGCCTCACCTACAGAGGAGGATAGGATGACCTGTTAGTTTGGGATTGAGGTGATTCATGTAAAGCCTTAAGCACAGTGCCTGACAATAAGGTCTGTGGCAGCTGCCAATGCTACCATCACCAGGGCATTGGAGAGGGCACACTTGTTGACGTCCTCATACCTGTTTGGAAACATAAGAGGTGCTTGTGTTCGCACAGACGAGGCCCTCTGCATTGCAGCAGCCACCACAACGGAACACAGTCACACAGGGGGGCTTGAAGAATGTGTTGGTGGTGCTCCCCAGCTCGCTGGCCACTTCCACACACGTCTCCCTGGGGATGCACTGGGTTCTTTGCCACTCCTCATCTATAACTGCAGAAAGGAAGTCCATGGGGGCCAGTAGATGGAATAGTCCTGACTTGTCAGCATGTGCCAGGGTGCTGGACATAGGCATTTTTATATTTTTATTGCAGTTATTTTGAGGAGCTTTTCTTTTTCAGGTTCTGGGGCTGGATCCCAGGATCTTGCGCATGCTAGGCAACCACTGAACTACACACCCCAACACCTTTTTGTTAGTTCTTTAACCAAAGATTGTTTGTGAGAAATTAAAACCAAAGTTTGTGTTCTTCCCCCATTTATACCATACTTTCATAGACTACTTTACTTCCCTTTGGGAAAGAACATCATGTCCTGTACATAAGCACATTAGATCCATCTGGAGAAGCTGACTAATAAGGAAGTGAGTGGAAGGATGTAAAGAAATATCATGTAAATGTTATTTAGCAAGTGATTCACAGGATACAGCTGGATAGTGTCTCATCTACTTGAAGCCAGGTAGGGATAAGTTTTAGCACCATCAAGAAATATGTTTCTGCTTAAGTAACTTTCGTAGGACTTAAACCTGGCAAGCACATGAATGGACGTTTAAGTGGAAGCAATCTTTCTTCAAATCAATTTTCTCATTTGCAAGTACCTGATACTGATGTTTATACAAAATGATGAAAATAAACCCATTCATTTTTATGTTAAGAAGCAATCTTCTGGGCATAGTTAATTTGAGAGAAACAAGAAAAAGAGAAAGAAGCCTCTGGGAATAGAAAGAAAATTATATACTTTCTGGTAAAGCAGTACCTGATTTTCTTCCATAGTTTATTTTTTAAGTTAGATTTTGACACTGATATTCAATGCCATGCATCCTTTCTATGGCTGACTTGTTTGTTTTGGAGGAAGATTCAATTTTATAAGAAAGCCAACACTTACATTTCCAGCTTTCCATGGATGGAACTTTAGACTTTATAATATGGTAGGGGATTGGTGAAAACCTCATGTGGTGGGCAGCTTCAAAACTGATCTCCCAGTAATTCCCCACCTCTTGATGGGCATGCCCTGTGTGATCTCCTCCCCTTCTGTGCAGAAAGAACCTAGTGGCTCACTTTCTATGAAGAGAATACAGCAAAACCAACAGGATGCCACATCCGTGATTAGGTTAAAAATGACTTCAGCCCTCTCCTCCACCCCTGCTTGCAGGCTTTCATGAAGCAAGCCACCACGCTGAAAAGGTCTGGATGGCAAGAAACAAAAGGAGGCCTCTGGCCAACAACAGCCAATGAAGAACTGAGACCCTCAGTCCAAGAGCCTGTGAGAAACTGGGTCCTGCAACCAACTGCTGAATGAACTTGGAAGCACACCTTGCCCCAGCTGAGCCTTGAGACACCTGTTACCCAAGCTGACATCTTGATCGCAGCCTCCAGAAAAACCCTTCTAGGCCATGGGTATATTTTGGAACCACAGAAACTGTGCATGTGAAAAAATGATTGTTTTAAGCAGCTAAATTTGGGGGTGATGTTATGCAGTAATACACAAACACTTCTCTATTTTTACCCTATCTTTAAAAATCTGTATTGATGTCTCTCCAGATTTTTCTGAGTTTTCAAATATGTAAACATATTTCCACTAGAAGGGACAGAAGGACCTCTGCTTGAAGTGCACAGATTTATTACTGCTTGAGTTCTGACTCTAGTCTCTATTTCTTTAAAATATTTTACAATTCTTTAAAATATTTTTTATGTGTCATTTTGCTTTTTTGACTCCTTAATCTCAATTTCCCCCATATGTTGCTTCTCCAGTTACCAAAAATACAAAATACAACATGTTTGACTGGCTGAGGAGCACTGCTCATACTACATAATTTAATATTTTTAAAAAACATTAGAAATCTTCTATCCTGAGAAATCGTTTAAAAATTCCTGATAATGAGTATTTATATAAAAAACCTGAAGGCTGTAAACATGAGAGATAACTTACTCGATTAAGTATTAATAAGAGCATTATTTAATTCACTACTAGTTGTGAAATTTTGAAAGGTAACTAATGTGCTTATGAAAATATTCTTTGTTTAAAATTTTACTTAAATGTTTCAATTTGCTTGTTCTCTTTTAAAAACTAAGTTTCAAATGTTGGAGAGGTAAGATTTTAATCAAAGTTGCATGCAGTTATGAGCAATGCCTGTCACTAAAGGTTTCATAACTCTGCTATTCCTTACTACCGCCCAGAGAATTGCCCTGAGATCCACGAGGGTGGGTTGGTAACACATGTAATTGGTGTAACATGTTCATTTGATTGCTTCTCACTTAGGAAATTACTTTAGCTAATCCTTCATGTAATTAGAAGAGAAATTTTGGAGTCTGAAAAATTCTAAGTTTTTATGGTTTCCTTCTTAGAAAACATCGACATCACTGACTTGTGAAAATCACTCAGTCTTGGTTTTATGGTAATACTTGTGTTCCCAGAGTATATCCAGGCTCACCTCAGGCCCTTAGGCAGGTAAGCTGGTTAAAGCCCTTGATCTCCAGATGAGGTACTGACTTCTTTATTTTCATGAAGTTCATGTTAAGTCACCATGAAGAAACAACTAGAGCCTCAAACCCTTGCCATAGTTCCCATTATCTCAACTCACTTAGACACACAGTCCTACCCAGGAACGCAAAGACTATTCCTCATGCTTCTGCTCACCATGCTGCTGAAGGGTTCCCCCCACCCTATCTAGCCACAGCTTTCCCCACAGCCAACAGAGGCCTGTGCAATGTCATCATTTTTGGCAAATGAGAAAAAGACAACTCTGGATAGAAACAAAAGGATATTTTTGATTTAGTGGTCAGTTTAAATCATGCAATAGGTATGTAATACTTTGCTAGATGATCATGTTATTCAAATCTATGATGCTAGATCAACAAAGCCACAGTAGCTTCTCCTGTTGTTTTGACATGTCATCAAAAAGTTAGAATGCCTAATCAGAGGCCACACAACTTTCTTTGGAAGACATTTCTCTCCTCATGGCTCAGTACATATATACTTTTTTAAAAAAATAAAGAATCTCCATACCTTACTAGGAAACAATCACTCCCTTTATTTCAAGTTATAATCATCCTCCAGTATCCTCAGGGGACTGGTTCCAAGATTCTCCATAGATACTAAAATCCCAAGTGTCCAAGTACCTTATTTAAAATGCGGTGGTACTGGAACATAACAAATGCATATCTGTAGATGACTTATAATACCTAATACAATGTCGGTGCTGTGCCATAATTTTTACACTGTATTGTTTAGGAAGTAATGACAAGAAAAAGAAATCTGCATATGTTCAGCACAGATGCAATTCTTTTTTCAAATATTTTCTACCCTGCAGTTGGTCGAATCCACAGGTGTGAGACCTACAGATATGGAGGGTCAGCTACATGTTATTTCCTAGTTCAGAGTTTTTATTATTTTATTTTGAGAATTTTCGCCCTTCAACTTTATTCTAGTAAAACCTGTATTTATTATTACAACACTGATTCCAATTTCTACTTTTCACTTTTACTAAAAATCACAGAATTTTGAAGAAATAAAGAAAGCTATACTGATTATATTGGTTTTTATTGATATATGTGTGGCAGTAGAATGCTCCTTGTTGATGAATTCCCAGGTTATTTTATTTTTTTAAGTAAACACAGGACTTTTCTTCTATTAAGAACAATCTTTCTGGTTTTGTCTTGCCCTCACATCCTTGAGTTAAAATTTATTCTTATATTTTGAAATGTTCTTTTGTGTTGATCTTAGATCTTAAAATCATATTGAATATATTTTCTGTGGAGTAAATTAAAAAAAAATAGGATTCCCTATTAAACCAAGGTTAAATCAAAGACCCTCTCCCATTCTCCTTCTGACATGTGTCTACCTTACTCAGACTTTTGGAAGAAGTTGGTACATTTGTCATGATCTGATAAAGAGAAAGAATTTGCATGTAGATCCCACACCTACCTTTTAGTGTTTCAATGTCATAGTAAGTGGCAGCAAACCTAGTGGAGCGATGAGATGCTGAGCGAGAGTCCATACTGGTGAAACTTTTCAGCTTCAGCCGGCATCGCCAGAGCTTCCAGTCCTCGGAGTCCGTGATTCGCAATAGTTCCTCCAAACTCGAAGCAGCCCTAATCTGCTGTTCAGACCATTCTATCATGGACTGAGATAATTGCTTAAAAGAAAAACCCATTGAAAAGCAAGTTACTAAATGTGTCTTGATAGCTTTCTTTTCTAACATTTAAAAATGTAAATAGATCTGCACAGAAACTAGAGATTATTCAAATGTACACCAATGCTTAGGGAAAATGACATCTAGTATGTTTGATTCACATTCTGCTTGATTTATGATTGAATCAGAGGATGTACTTGTTTTTCCCCTGGGTTCTCAGAGCACTTACAAAGAATATTGCAGTAGATTTAATGGTGGGCTTCAAAATGCATGTTACCTTATCTGGGGAAAGGATCTGTGTAGATGTAATGGAGTTGGATCTTGAGATGAGATTATCCACTAAAATCCAATGGCCAGTGTCTTTGTAAGAGACAGAAGAGGAAACACTGACAGAGGAGAAGGCTATAAGAAGATAGTGCAGAAATTGAAGTGATACAGCCAGAAGCCAGGGATTACCTGGAGCCACAGGAGCCAGAAGAAGCGAGCAAGCAAGGATTCTCTCTGAGTCTCATACATTGATTGTAGATTTTTTTTCTGTCATTTTAAACCACCAAGTTTGAGATAAATTATTACACCAGGCACAAGAAAGTAATACAAATTTTTATATACTGCTTTTGTGACGGTAGCCAAGGATAATCGTCACCATATCTATTATTTGTTTGAGAAACTGATCCACAAAATCTGGGGACCCTACCTATAATCACGCAAGAAAGAAAAATTCAGAGACCCTGGTAGCCAGAATCCTCTACACCCTTTTTGTTTCCTTTTAAAACATGTTTCCTATTTCAAAAACATGAAATTTTTGTAGAGTTTAGGTTGAAAATTTGCTTTCTTAGTTTCATGGACTATATTGGCTGCTATGTCCAACTGTATTAGGTAGGTTTGTAAGAGAAGAATCAACAGAAGATTTTCAGTATATAACTTCTTTTTAAAATTGGAGGCTTGGTTGTATAAAATAATGATATCCGCACACAACGAAATGCTATATGATCACCAAAACCAATGACGCAGAGATATTGGAAGAGAATGAATTTTGATCCTCCCTGGAATGTTCTGGAGAAACAATAAGGTGGCTAGGACTAGGGATTTTCTTCTGCTGAGCCTGGAGTTACTGGGTTTTCATTTTGGTGGGTGGTTGGGATATGTGAGCGGAGGGCCTTTTAAGAGCTGAGCTGAGGTAAGAGATGAAAGACGAATGCGACTACAGAATTGTGCTGAGAAAGGAAGGTGGAAGGAAGAAGTAAAGGTTCACTGCCTGCTGTACGGGGGGACATGGGCGGGGTGACCAGAGATGCACAAATAGGACTTCTAGAAGGCTTTACATTGAGTAGTGTGATGCACACACTCCTCCATTGCCTCCTTGAAAACAATAGGCAAAATCTGCATCGTTCATGAGTTATTTTGGGAGCAGGATTTTTTTTAGATGTGATAATGGATCCTGAAAATTGTCCAAGGGTAGGTACTCAGAAAAGCAAGTGTGGTCCAAGTCATGTGTGTGCATGATGCAGGTCTCATATATACATAAATATCTTCATATTTATACATATATATGATATGTATATATGAAGATCTAGAGCTATACACATGAAAATGTAAAATTGGTTATTCTTTAGATCAAGGGTCACTTGATGACCTTCCAGCATAATTCAGCCTGCAGTTTGATGTTCTATAACTAAAGTTTTATCAGGACACAGTCATGTCCATGTATTTACATATTGGCTATGGCTGCTTTCATGCTACAATGGCAGAGTTGCAAAGGTGTGACAGACACCTTCATGCCAATTTAAACCTGAAACCACCTACCATCTTCCCTCAATTCTTTATTATTTTCAGCTATTGCATTTTTCATTATTCCATCTATAATATTGTCTCTATCCTCTTTTTTGAAATACTTACCAGACATATGTTGAAGTCTTTTAATCATCCCATGTCTCTTAAATGTACTTTCGTATTTATCTACTTTCTCCATCTATCTTTAATATCTTATGGATAAATTAATTGGTCCATCTTCCCTACCACCAATTCTCCAGTTGTGTAGTCTAGAGTTTGTCTTTACTTTCAATAACCGTATTTATGATTTCAAGTATTTCTACTTCATTTTCTTCCTATCTACTTTTTATTTCATTTCTGAATGTTCTTAATTTGTTATTATTTTCTGAATATTATTCCATTTTTTGCCCCTTTGAAACTCCTAAATATACTTATTTTAGGTATTTCCTCAAATTATTTTATATTTTAACTTCACAGATATGATTTAAGATCTATATCCCAATTATTAATTTTATTGCTGACTTTCTCAGTAGTAATTATCTCTACATGCTTTGGATTTAGTAGTTTCACCTTCATTGGGAGATTCTTTGTTCTTTCTTTCTCACTATTCTTTCCTTATCATTTAGAAATTTTGTGATAACATCTCCCTGACTACATGGGCTCTGAATCCATAATTTTGTTGAATATTTATGATATAAGGGTCAGCTCAATTCAAATTTGTACTACAAGGAAGTATGTACCCGCTTCCTCCTCTCTCCCTAGTTGAGCAGTCAGCAATGAGCAGTAACCCTTCCTCTGTCATGATAGATCCAAGTTTTTATGTCCTCTGCCTCATCTCCATGGTGTGAGGACCATTTTCACAAATGTTTGTCATCCACAGGAGTTTACCATCATTTAATCCATTTTATATTCTATGGACTAAAAAATAAATCTCAAAACATGAATCTACAAGAGATCATCTTGCTTGGAGGTCCAGGTTGTGTGTGTGTGTGTGTGTGTGTGTGTGTGTGTGTGTGTGCATTTTAAATCAAAGTGGGAGAGTCTTGAACACGTTTATAATCCGAAGGAAAGAGGCAACAGAGACTTGGAAGAAACTGAAAACATGCAGGTAAGATAAAGCAGGGATCAAGAGGGTTGAGTATGACGTGAATTCCACAGTTAGGTGGACGTGCTTGAGTAAACAAGAGGATCCCCTCTGAAACAAGTGAGGCACAGGGAAGTGGGTTTATAGATGGCAGGCTGCTTGGGGAGCTCAGCGAGCTCAGGCCTGTGAATTTTGTGGAATTAGCTTTGAATTTATGTGGCTTGCCCATAGCTTCTTCATCTAAGAACTTGAGGGGTGAAACTGAATAATTGCCATTGGCCCTAGCAACTCTGAAATTGAGTGATTCTCCATTAAGTCTCATTTGTCCAGTTTTGCTTTTCCTGCTTATTCATGTCTTCTTCTATTTGGATGGTATAACTACTTTGTATCCAATTTAATCTTCAAAATAAAATTTTGTGATAACACTGCTTCTACATGAAAATCTTGAAACCAACTAAATAACTTCTGAACGGTAATTAAATTGTACTATATGAAAGTAATTTTTATTTATTGAGGTAAAATTTCATCCAACACCATCCATATAGAGAGAGTGATGAGGATCATAGCTCTTTAGATTTCAATTTAGTCTCAGAAATATTTTTAAACTATCCAACCATGAGAACTCAGGAGGAAATATTAATTCTCTGGATTGAATTAAAATCACTGAATGGCTCATATTACTTGCTTCATCATAAAAATGTAGTGTTTACTCAAATAAACAAAGTTATTTAAGCATACTTTGTCTCATAGTTTAAAACCTCGTTTGAAATAGCTAGGAAGTTGCAGCCATTTTACTGGAAGTGCTAACAATTCCACCTAAGTAGAAACCTGATAACTAAGTCACTGGGAGCATGCATTTACAAGGGTCAGGAATGGCTGCCTCTTGTTTCCAATAGGCTTTCTGCACTGGTTGATTCTTGTATGATCCATTTTATGTTATCTGCTTGGACAAGAGAAAAATGCAAATTAAAAAGCATGAGTGTTCTGCCTGTTTTCTGATGGTAGCCTTAATCCAAACTACAAAACAGTCAACAACAAGAAGGAGTGAGAGTTACCAGATCTCCACTTTTTATTACAGTATCAGCCTTTATTATTGGTCATTAATGCAAGACTGTTACCAATATCACTCCTAAACAACAAATTATTATTAATTTCTTGGCTACCACAAGCCAGTCTTTAAATTGTGAGGCTTAAAGCCTTTGAAACAATACCCTATCAGCATGTTAACATACACTAACCATAGAGTGGACTTAGACCTAGAGAACTGACAATGGCAATACTGTCAGTTGGCTGGATATACTTTGGAAAGGGTATGGGGCAGAGGCTCCCAGCCTTGTCTTTATCTTGAATCTACCTGGGAAGAAGCGTCAGAGAAATAGTGATGCTTGGGTCTGGTTCTCAGAGATTCTCATTTTATGAGTTCATGCAGGATTTTTAAAAACTTTCTGTGTTAGCCTTAATGGAAGCTAGGTGAGGGATATACAGGAACAATCTACACTATCTTTGTGAGTTTTCTATAAATCTAAAATTACTTCAAAATATATAGTTTATTTTAAAAAATATTCCCAAGCAATTTTGAGAACCACTAATTTGGAGCATGGTGCATGCTGATTTTAAGTTCACAGACTTGTGTTTACTGCCCAACCTCTGTACAACTCCACTAATATTCAGTAGGGGATAAATGGCTGATACATGCTAAGAAATGCTCTTATTCTTTAAATTCTTTTGAGTTATATCTTGGTTTCAAAATCTGTGTATAAGTATTTACTGAATTGGATTTTTAAAGCCTTTTTCTTTTCTTTTTTATTCATATATTTATTGGTACTTTTTAGGTAAATAATATGTTTACATTTATCATTGGGTGCTTGTACCTGAACATGATGTATCTTAGTTCTTATTTTTTCACCCATTACCTGTGCACCCTTCACCCCCTCCACCCTTCCCTATTTACATAGATTGCGTTTCCATTTTTTTTCTTTTCTCATAATTTTTCCTTTCCCTTCTTCCCTTTCCCCTTCCCCTCCCGCCACCCCTACACCTTTGGACCTTTTCTTCCTATTTCAAATTGTCAATTATTCATTTTAATCATTTTCGTACTTATTTACACTTTCAGTTTCTCACACTAGAGAAACTATTCAGTATTTACAAA